ATTTCCATCATAAGGGATAATGTTTAGCTTTTGCCCTACAGCTTGTTTCTCATACAAGGTTTATGAAATCTCTGACTGCATTTTTCTCATATTTTTCTCCAATTAATTTATCATGATACAGACTTTTGTCCTGGCTATGCTATCAAAAATGTGCTGTATATTTCTATGCACCATGCAGCCCAAGAGGAAACAGCATCTTTCAAAGGCGGTGTTGGAGTTACGTGAACATTTGTCTTGCTTGGTGTCCCATGCAGAAATGCATTTTGGAGCAATCACCAATCAAAGCTTTTTTCTGTTATATGGGAAATATTTCCCACTGTTTATAATTTTTGTCTCCTGAGTGTACAGGTAAGTGAAAACCTTTTTTATGGCACTGACCAGACCTCCATTGCTGAAGCTCTGCTTGCTTAGCAGCTGAGTGCCTCATCTCCCTTCAGTTCTGAGGCATTTTCTTGGTAGCATGGTTGGAACTTCCCTTGCAACCCTATTCCAAATGTTTTTGAGATGGGTTAGATTTCTGCGTTGTGTTTGCAAGAGTCGATGCCCTCAGATGAATGTAAGAATAGCATAAACACATATTCTTCCCTCTCCTGGGCTCCAATAGGTTGCTCCTGTGCTACTGAGCCAAAGATGGTATCATTATTTAAGACTAGTGGGTTTTTCAGTTGCTGGTGTCCAGATTCTGGCAGTGCTCTAGTGCATAAGCGCCCAATTTAAAAGCTTGTAGTTGTCCCAGTTCTTTCCAGACTGGCAGTTCATCTCTCGGATGATGCAGCATTGTCCACTGCTCCTAATTACTTCTACAGAGGTTTCCTCTGCATTAGTTGTGTTGCAGCCATTCTCTTGTGCTGCTGTTGGGCTTCTTCCCTTTTGATGCATGCTCTTTTATCACTTGCACACTGTTAGTGAGTGGCACTTGCTTTCAATTCCTATCCCACTTCCAAATGCTGGCATTGTTCTGACTCCTATTGTTTTCATACTCAGTATATCTTGTAATACTTTTCATTGTAATATTTTTCATTCATCTGTTGCATCTTGTGATATTTTTCATTCATCTGTTTTTCTGTGTTCTGTCCTTTATCATTAAAATCTTTGATTCCCTAAAATATCAGTTTTTGTCTGGTCTGGGTGAATCCTTTGCTTGACAAATGTGGGTTATCTTGCTGAGGATTAATTATGCACCTTCCAGTAGACCAAGGTCTACTTTGGTTACCCAGAGCTCAAGCTCTCAAAAGTGTCTGATGAGGCAGTTTGTCAGAGATTAGTCACCTAATCTTCTGCTTTTGCCCTCTGCTTAAAAGCATCACATGCATCTATCTATTTTTTATAGAATGCCTCGCACTTCTGTAATGAGCGTCAGAATTCATCTGTCTTTGCCAAACTAAATGAAAACCAGTTCCATAACCATGGAAAATTGTCGCAGAATGAGGCCTTTGTCGGGGATGAGCCATTTGTCTGTGAGGGGAGACTCGGACACTCAATATGAGTGATAAGCAAGTTCCCTTTATTGAAGAGAGCATCAGACACTTATACAAGTAATAAGCTCATGAATATTCTGTAATTTACACTGTCCATTGGCCACACCACAACATCAGCTCTTCCCCGTTCCTTGGGGGTTACATCTCTCTTTTCTCATGTCTCTTTCACTATTTGTTATCATACTACAGCTAGGCCCAAGGACACACTATCTTGCAGGTGCAGGAGTTGGAATTAGCCACAGCTTTGTAATTTTCCAGTCTCTAGCAGCTAAATTCCCAACAGAAAATACAAATTTCCTTAAAGCAATATTAACAGAAACAGTGTCTGCTGCTGCTATGAGTTCCTTGAAGATGCAGACTGTTTACATTTCTGTTCATGGGAGGGTTTAGGTAAGTATGGAAATTTCCTGAAGTGCCCCTACTTTTTACCAATTGGGAGTAAAAAATTACCTGCTTTGTAATCCCAGAGCTTCAGCCAAGATATTTATTTATGAAGAGATGGAAAGCTGGCAGCTTTCTCTCTCTCTCTCTCTCTTTTTTTCCTTTTTTTTTTTTTTTAAATTTGTTATTTCTGGTCTTGATCTGTTACTTTGCTTAGGAGACATTTTATAGAAATTTAACTAGTAAGCAACTTATAATGTCTGTCCTCTTGCTACCATACTTCTGTAATTGATGTGGCCATAGATGAAAGCCTCAGAATGATATTTGCTTCCAAATCATCCAGGTTGTGTTAAAAATATGCTTCTCTAAATCTGCTGAAAGTAGCAATATGTTGCTGAACAAAAAGCAATTTTCTAGATCCAGATAAATTATTAAGATACAAAAATAAAATCTACCCTTCAGTGCTGCATAGATATTGGTAGGAAGACCCAGAGAAGGTTAAGTAAATTAATTAAATTTTTAGTCTATTCTGTGAACCAGAATTAAACATGGAATGCAGGCTTCTGCTTTGTAAGTGCCAGCCCCACCAGACATATAAGGGCTTTAATTCAGGTCAGCTCCAAATCTCTCCAGTTTCTACATTTTGAATGGTATTTTACTCAAGACCCAGGTACTACCTGTTAAATTCACAACAACCACAATGAATTATGCTAATTTGGACTAAAGCACCCCTAATTCAGAGTAAAAGTATCCACCTGGAGAATTAGTCATAAAGAATGCATTCTGATTATAAAAAGAACATCAATTTTAGAATAAACTCCCCATGAAGGAAAGACACACCTGCAAAGAGATTGAAGGTGGAGTGAACTAGTGCAGTTGAAATGCTGATGGTCATGAAGAAAACGGAGTTTGGAGTGAAGTGTTTAAAAAGCAGATGCCCAAGCTGGCAGGGGAGAGCCCACACTTGGCTGTGCTGCGGGTCCTCACTGTGTGTCTCCAACAGAGGCTGTCTTGCTCGGGAACTAAGTGGTTATAAGCGACCCGAGGGGAAGAGAAAGGTGGGAATCTAGGCTGTGTATATAGGTCCAATTTCTCTTTCAGGGCAGCCGGTGAACACACTTCCAGGCCGTGGGAATCCTCTCTATCATCTTAAATATGAGCTGAGCTTAGTCCGAGGGGGTGCATGAGTCTCGTGTGTGTCATTGGGCCAGCTGCAAGGGAAGACGGAGAGAGGGGAACGACCCAGTTAGATTACGAATTCATCTTGTCCTGATGAATACTAGTGCCTCAGAATTTATAGATGGATGTGTTCGTGTCTGAAGCAACTGCCTTGTGAATTTCCTGATCGTGCAGGAGCGGTATGCAAAACGGGAGGAGGAGGAGGCAAGGAAGGGAGGGTGGCTCTAGGACCCATACGAGCCTTCCCGAGCAGGAGGTGGGAATTTTCCTCCAAGGCAGCAGGAGCCCGAGCCCGGTCTCAGAGCTCCAGCGGAGCCCGCAGGAAGAGCCTGGCACGTCCCCTCCACAGCTCCACAGCCGCGCACGCGGGTGGGACCAGCCCGCGCCCCGCAGAGCCATGAACCGGCTACCACAGCTGCTGCTGTGGGTCACTGCAGTGGGTAAGGAACTTATTTTTCATTCCTCTCATCTCCTTATTTTGCAAAGCCCTTCTTCTACCCAGAGGCTTAGACTTATTTCAGTGCCCCTTCCCTTTTACCTTTAAAACCAGAAAATCATTATTTTCAGAACAGTAGGGAAAAAAGGAGGGTTGGGGTTTGAAAGAGCTGACATGAAACATATGTGAAGCATGTGACATGGAGGAAAATAAATCTTGATTGTAAGTAAATTTTGTTCACTGAAACGAATAGGCAATCTGTAGTTTTAGAAGAGCTGCTGCTCTCGAGGCTCTGAGGCTGGATGCAGGCAGTCACAGTACAAGGGTTTGGCATGAAACTAACAGCTATATCCTAGGACCATTTTGCTTCTCTGGCTGTGGGATTGTTTTCTTAGGGGCTGTTTTGGAGAGGGGGATAAGAGTAATGTTCCAGGAGCAGTGGAGGTTGCTTACAGGAAAAGGTGCAGTTTGGAGAGGATGCTTTGTCTAAGCAGAGAGATGAGGGACATGGATAAAGAGAGGAGTAAGTACTGGGACTATGAAAGGGGGACTTATGAGCTCCCACTTATAAAGTGGTTCTCAGGCTAAGTTTTGAATGGAATCTTTGTGCTGCTCTGTTTGTCACTGTCAGCTTTGGTTCTGAAGTACAACAAAAGAAAAGAAGTGACAGTAGGAGAGAAGAAGAGGGATATTAGGAGGGAAGCTGCAGGAATAGTAGAGAAGCTGGGAGGTGGCATCATGCATGCAACCAATGACAAGAGAAAAAAGTAGGAGTGGGACACATATACTTGATGTGTACAGTAGCAAGCAAATTTGTTATAAATATTAGGAAAGAAATGCTTCTATCAGGACACGCTGAACTTCTCAGAGAGCTGCAGTTACAGTAGATACAGTGTAGGTACAGTGACTACAGCGTGACCCTTAGACAGGACCAGGAGACACTTTGTATTTCTCAATGTAACAGAGAAATGTAACTGGTGTAACTTCCAGGCACGAAAGGAAGAAAGGCAAACAGGTTGTTGGGCGCTGCAGCTAGCTCTAGCTAGAGCAGTGCATTTCCTCTCTCTGGCTAAATGATGAACTTGTATATATTTACTTTTATATGCAGACACACAGCGACGTCAGTTTCTAAGCAGGTTTTATAATTTATTTCTATTTACAATTGCACGCCAAGACATAGCACAGAGTTTTTGAGTTCAGGCTTTTTCTGGCCTTTTATTTCTGTTGGGAGGAAGGAGGTTGTTTTACTGTCGAAGGGTCCCAGGACAAGTGTACCTCATGCAAGCAGAACTGTATGTCCCTACCTCAGCTTTCATGGCATGTGGTCTCATCAAGAATTGCTGAGTATCTTTCCAGTGTTTTTGGTGGAATGGCTTTCAACATACAAGAAATGTTAATGTAAGGAATAATAACTATATTTGCTGTATATCCAAGTCTGTGATATGAAGCATGTCTGTATTAGGAAAGAGATTTTAAAAAGGGTGTGTTACAGAGAGAGTAAGCAAAGAGCTAAATGAAAATAAATGTACATTTTACAATCTCTGTCCAAACTTCTGCCAAAAATAATCTCAATCTCTGGAGGAGTTTTCAATGCATGAGCATTTAACTATGTAGCTGCTGTCATAATCTTCACATGGAGGTTGCTTGCCTCACTATGGGGGCTATTGTGGTCAGCTCTCAGACTCTATAGTCTATTAGTTTAAAAACCACTTCTATTTCCACTGTACAATTTTTACTGAGGCATGTTCTTGGAGTGGCTTTACATTTCCTTATTTATTTGGAAAGTCCAAGATCTAAGTGATGAAGGATATTGCAGGTCTTCTTTTCACTCTTTTATTTTCCTGGCTGGCATACATATTTCTTATGAGCTCTATCATAAAAGGATGATTTCAGAGTTCGTATCCACCAACAATTTTTGGCACATGGAAACACTGGAGGATGTTGCAAGTTCCTCTTGGTGCAAAAATTAAGACACTATGAGAAAATTCAGAAGGTTGTAGAGAACAATAGCAGGAAAAAACCCTCAGAAAAAGAAGCACCAAACCAAAGGTAACAAAAACAGGAAAATACTTAATCCACAGGTATACATTGTTCTGTATCAAAGCAACTTCACAGTCTTTTTGAGGCTGAGGTTGCACACTAGCCTCAGGTCTCAGGAGGTGGTTGGGAAGAAGGTGAAAAAAACCACCAGATGAATGTCTGGGAAAATTTCCTTTTTATTTTAAGCACCAGTATTACTTTGAACCTTCGTATTGGATTATATTCTTTTGATTACTTGAGCTTGGTAAGGGGTGGGTAGGTCAGTCCTTTTCTGTTCTGTGAGAGACCAGGCTGTGCTTGGCTAGATGTCATAGTCTTGCCTTTGATTGTGGAGAGCCAACTATCTGCAAAATTACAGCACAGCACACATCCTGAGCAAACCTCAAACACCTTTCCAAATGTGTGGTCATGTTTATGCCATTGCTCAGAGTGTAGCTATTGAGTATAACCACAGTCCATGAGATAATATTGGTAGAGGCACTTTGTCAGGATTTCTCTGCAGTCCCTTCCAACACTTGCAGTGCCACCATCACAGCATAGGGTAACTTGGGTTTAATTTCAGCCCAGTGAATAGTTATGGTTTTGGGTTTTGTTGAATCCTTTCTGAGGTGGAGAAGCATAGGAAGGTTGATGGCAGATTTAGGAGTAAGACAGCTTTTCTTTTGTTTGTGGAATGGTATATCAGCACGGTAATGATGAACACCCCATTCCTGGGTGCTTGCATTTGTCTAACTAACAGTTTTCAGAAGCCCCAAAAAATTAGTTTCTCTCCCTGGATTTATATGCCTCTCAGGACTGAATTTGTCTGTTTTGTAAAAGGAGTATAAAATGGCTTAAGTTTAGTCAGTCCACATTGTGCAGGAAGATACAGGAGTATTTTATTTTGTTGTAAACCAGCTTACGATAAACCAGTGCATCTATTTCACTTAGACAAACCTTTAGTGCTTTGTGTATCCCTTTGTTGGAGGAGAGCATGCCAAGCATGGAAGGGATGAGGCCCTGTGTTCTCTTTTGTCTCTTCAATGAAGAACTTTTTTCTTATTTTCTTCTTCTTGTGCCTATCTCTGCTCAGTTAAAGTAGCACACAGGTACAATAGTGATTTCACTTAAATGGTTCCAACCAGAAAAACATCGAATGATCCTTGAAATTTGTCTTAGGAGTCCTTTATTGTGCAAATGACAGCATGTCTCCATATACTGTGCCTAGTCTGAATATCCAATTCAAGGCACTATGGCTGTCACAGAAAGTCAAATATGGGATGGATGCCTTGAAAGGAAAACAAGACAGTTCTTTTTAAGTTACAAACATTACAAAGCTGTGGACTCTTTGAAATACAGTGAAAAAGGATATGATAAATTTATGGGAATCCCACAGTAAGGGAGCACATGCAGGGAAACACCAGTGATTTCTAAACTGCATCAGGAGGGAAGACTAAGTTGGAAGAGGTAAAAATCAGATCGTTGTGTAAGGATAGAATGTAAGAAAATAAAGATAGTGCAGAAGGTAGTCTCACACCTGAGGAGCTGCAGCTGTACTAATCACCAAAGATTAGGAACAGGCCTGCCCTTAATAGGCCACAGCTGTGTCCAATAAGAAGATGAGTGCTGCAAAAGGGTGGGTTAGCTAGGTGAGAGGAGATGGAGTTTGTTTGTTGTGCTGTGAAAGGGGCTGGAGTTTGTTGGCTGTGCTGTGAAGAAGGAGTCAGTGCTGTGAGGAGCTGGCCATGAGAAATGACCCAGAAGATATGGGACTTTTGCAATAAGATGACAACAGGTAGTGAGTCATGTGTAGTGTTACTTTAGAGCTGAAGTCAATGTCTTATGAGCAGCCATAGAATAAATCCATCTTTCTATCCATGCTCCATAGCTGCATAAATTTTAATTAGTCCATAAGATTAAAGTTAGAGAAAAGGATGTCTCACTCCAGTGAAGTTTCAAAAACATCTTCTATTCCCTGGTGTCCCAAACAGATCCACAGGAGGGTCCCTGTCTTCAGCCTACTAGTATATATGAAGGAGCTCATGTTGGCTGTGCTGGTGTGTAGAAGTGCATCAGTGATATCTGTGACAAGAGCAGAGAGAAATTTTTACATTGAATTAATTTTATGAATATTGCTGATGTTTGACACTAAGGTGATTCATAAAGCGCTCTAGGCTTTGAGCTGCTACATTTGGTCATTTGCTTTGTATGTGTACCAGTTAGTTCATACTGAGACATTCAAACAAATCTACATGTTTAAATTTTTTTAATTTCAAACTTTTGCTCAGAAAAACCTTGCATTCAAAAATCTGAAATATTTATTTAAAAGCCTAAAACATGTTTAGTTTTTACATTAACTGTTCTAGTCCAGCACTCCCTGAAATAGGTTGGTCTTTGTAATTTTATAAAACTTTTGATTCAGAAGACTTTTAGGGTAACCTGTGACAGGTTTTTGTTTGTTTTGATTTTTTAAAATTTCTTGTGGCTTGCCAATGACTTGGAAAATCCTGTATTAAAACTTCCCAGTTATCTTATAATACCACATTACTGTTTGTACTTAGATTTGTCATGCAGGTCATTGTCCTTAGGCTGATGCTCATTACTCTACGTGCAGACTGTTTGTAGCTTGGTATTGGATCAAATTACTCAGAAATAAAAGGTTTTTGCAAACCTTTAGTAAAACAAGAAACAGAGAGCAGCAGCTGAGAGGAGAGGCAGGTGAGCCTGCCTATCCAGAAATAAATGGAGAGGAAGGAACCCACAGAGTTCATAGTTAACACAACATGATGGATATCTATGGGAATACAGTTACAGCCATGCAACATCTTGTCTTCTGTATCTGGAGACTTTTATCTGAGACTCCTACGAGTAAGCATGATTCCTGTATTGAATCCTTAAATCAGAGGAGGAAAATAATGACAATAATTATGTTAATTAATTGGATCAGGCTTATAGTCTTTTCCTGCCTCTCAGCATCAGTCCTTC